TCTATCTATCTATCTATCTATCTATCTATCTATCTATCTATCTATCTGAGTGCTTACTCTATTTTATTTTCATAAATAATATTTTTTTCCAATTAAAAGTTTTACTGTATGATATAAATGAACATTACTCAACCAGGTAAAGATAGAACATTTTGTCCCGAACAGTTTTGAGCTGTAAATTTTGTTTTCTCTGCATATTTCTTTCACAAGACTGTCTTAGCTGCAGGGTCCATGCGTGTCGTGTCATCCACTGCAATTTCACAGCTCAACAAAGTCTTTCTGATAGTTTTGTTGTAACAGTGGAACTCCACATTTCACGCTGCTTTGACGGGATTGGTCGATCACATTAAAAGCAGCAAAACTAGCGCAGAGGCTCGTCATTTGGAGGAGAATTCCCACAGTGTTTAACTATGTCGATCTCCAGGTGGTGGAGATGGACATCTCAAAGCAGCTGCACGCGTACGAAGTGGAGTACCACGTCCTGCAGGACGAGATGCTGGAGACCGGACCGCCGCCCGACGACTCTGACCGGCTGGACAAGTTAGAAAAGACAAACACTCAGCTGAAGAAACAGAATATGGACCTGCTGGAAAAACTTCAGGTAAGATACGGAGGGCACAAGATACAATCTGATGTTCTACCTTTTATTAGAATGAAGAAGTTCCCCTTGGAATTCTACAGACCTTAACGGGTGGCATTTAAAGTTTGATTTAACTTCACATAAAGTCCTTTTTAGATGTGTATCAGTGCAAACGGCCATCAGTCAGCGGTAATGTCTTAGACTGTCCATAGATGGCACTAAAACATAAGCTTAAAACCCAACGGAGACGTGGAAATGTTACAAAGACAAAGGACCGCAAGCTGCTTGTTCTCCAGATTCTCCTTATCATTTCGGTGAAGTGTGAATCCGCGGAGGAGGACTGGTGAAGCCACTCCTGATGAGCCTTGTATTAATAAATGTTAGAAAGTTACTGAACGGCCTGATCTGATGTGAAAAAGGGGAAATGACCGCCCCCCTCCCTCTGACTGCCCTCCGGTTTGGAAAGCTACACTTTCAACATTTCAACAGTTGTTTACTTTCTTTTTTTTTTTTTTTAAAGAAAGTAAACAACTGGATGTTGCATGAAATAGACCCACATTTGACCACCGTTGTAGAAACTGCTGTGGCGCAAAGCGCCGTTGTCCTGAGTCATGTTGACCCCTCTGCGTCCGTAACCTCCGCGTTTCCTGTTCACCCTGTGTCCAAATGCCTCCGTCTGCTTTGCGCCTGTCTTTTTACCGGAGTTGTGATTTTTTTTTTTTTGCGTCCCGCAGGCTGCGCGGCAGAAGATTCAGACTCTGGAGACCAGCGTGGAGAACTTCCTCTCTCGGGAGAGCAAAATGAAGCACATGATTCGCTCCCTGGAGCAGGAGAGGGCAGCTCACCAGAAGACCATCGAACGCATGCGCTCGTGCTTCCCCCCCGACGCCCTGACAGATGTGGAGATGACCCAGATCAAGACGGGGCCCAACGGGAAAGCCAAAACTGCAGCCAAGAAGCCCTGATGGTAAACAGGGGGTTGGGGGGGGGGGCTGGCTGCCCTGGGCAGGCGCTCGGGCAGAGACTAAAGTGGACGAATGAAGACTCCTGCTCTACGCAAGAGCGTTTTTGGAAACGTGCGACGTCTCTGAGCAAACAGACTGCATGGGAAACACGTGCGCAATATTTGTCGGCAGATAATCGAGCAGCGGGAGGACGGTTTCAGTCGTGTTAGCACAGAGAGTTTCCATTGTGCTTAAATCCTCATCCGCGTCACTGCCATGTTCCTCCCCTTCTTTGGATCTTCAATGCGACTTACGAGCAAAATATTTTCGATCGACACACATGAGAAGTGTGAATGCCTTTGCGGATACTTTTTTTTCGCGCACTGCCTTGAAGTGTTCACTACTTAAGTAAAAACCCCTGTCAGTGGTGAGCTGATGGGGCCTGTTGGTTAGTCGTCATTTGGACCTCAGGGCCAACTCACAGCCATTACCAGTGTGTGTGTGTGTGTGTGTGTGATCACGCAGTGGAGTTTTGAACTTCAGTCTGCGATGGATCCTTGGTCTCAGGCTAGTTGCGTTACTTTGCTTATTCATTTGATTCACTTCAAATGTTTTGTGAATGTACTTCCCCTCAAAAGATCATTGTCATTATCCTTTTTTTTTTTTTTGTTGCATCGTCTAAACATTGAGGCACACGCTTGCCAATCTCCGGTTCGATATCATCCGTCAGCACCGCGCCGCCGCCTTCATAAAAGACGTCTTTAGTACTTTAGCGTTTGCTGCTCTTAAGGAGGAAGTGTTTCTTCCTAAGCTCGGGCAGGATGTGAGGTTGTCTGCCTCTTCAGTTTCCTGTGTGAGTGGCAGCGCAGTCGCCTCTTTTTAGCACCACCTTCAGACACCCAGCCAGAGCCGGCACTCCCCAGGAGCCACAAAATAAACAGACTAAGGCGGTGGAAGTGATCCGAATGTACACGCTCCTGTTCAAAAAGTCTGCGTGGCAGGTTTGTTTTTGCCAGGTTTGACAACATCTTCTGCGGTAGTTTCAAAATGCAAGCGCTCAGTGTTGTCTGGATCAGGACCTCAAAGCGTTTAGATGAGCTGAGGGGACGCAAAATAACACTTCTCCTTTCAGTGATGATGAACACGTTCCTCTATACACTACAGTACACACAGACGCACTACAGTGAACCGGCTGGCTGCATAGACAGACAGTTTATGACTTCAGAGTGTCCCTAGCTCCCTCCTCAGCTTCGCTTTATCCCACCTCCATGTCTGACTCACCATCCTTTCTTCTTCTCGTCGAAAGGAAAAACCCAATTTCTTTTCCTTCACAAAACTCCCTCACATTGAAGTCGGCGTGGCTTCAGAGCTTCTATCATAAAAGACGGGATTGTTGATCAGTCTTCCTGCCCTCCGCGGCAAGTCGGGGTGACGCGTTTCTGTCTTTCTTTGTGTGGAATCTGTACTCCGAAAGGCTTTCGTCGTAGAGGACATATCTCATGGCAGCCAGCGCGGTGTGTTTGTTTAGCAGTCGCACACCGGGGGCACTCGTCTACTTTTTAGTTACAGTCGTTAACTGTCAGTGAGATACCCCCGCCATGGCGTAACTGCTTTCTGGCAATTAAGATGTCATTTGGCGAAGTGGGCACCCAATTTTTGATCCATACAGGGAGGGGGAAAAAGCCACTTTTGAATAGCAGGGACCCACCAGGCTAAATATATCAAAACAACTCATTTTAAGATTTGTTGAAGGATACATCGAATGCAGTAAAATGCAGCTTTTTCCCGTTTTTCGTTTCATTCGCGCACCTTGATATATCAAACCAAAGAATTGATCTCCCCTCCGTGACAATTACGGAAAGAATTCAACTAACATACACGGATATGTTTTTAAAAATGTAACCTTCTCTTCTCTACATCTGCTCTACAGTCTCTGGGTTTCTGTAAAGGCAGAAACTTGAGGAGATACCAAATATCGGTGGTAAAAACTTGAGTCTCTGTATAAAAAAAAAGAAAAGAAAAAATGCTGTTCTTTTCCCTGTTTTTACACAATCTACTTTTCTTGTGCCAAAAGTTACGAATGGGATTTTTAACTGTTCTGTCTGAATTTGTGGAAAGCACATTGCTGTAGTCGGTTATTTTGCATCCGGTGCTCTGAGTCCTGACTACTAAATAGTGCTTGTATCACTGTGTTAAACATGTCAACAAGAGGGCTACACAACAGCAAAGAAACTGTCATGAATGCTTCAATAAACCTCACCTTGCCTTGTTTTGTCTACTCATGTCCACATGCCTTTCCAGCCCAGTAAGCCTCTCATAAAGAAATCATGTTCCTGTAGCACTTCAAGTGTAGGATGTAGCCTCCAGCTGAGATGTTTTGTGTTTATAGTCATTGCATAAAAGGCCAAGGTAAGCTTAGACAGTTTTAGAGATTCTATTTAAAGGCCTTTTACGCGTTGTTCTTTTGTCAATGCCTTGGGCAAAGTGAACCGCGCGTCTCAACCTGGCAAAAAATCTTAGTGAGATAGGTGTATTCCAAAGAAGCATGTAGCTTTGTGTACATTTCTCAATAAGCCATAATATGGTGAATGAAATAGAATTTCTTACATTACTGGCCAAAAAAGGAATGGTTAAAAACAAAAAGGTGACTGTTGAATTGATTGAAAATATCGCCACTGTGTTCTTTCAAACGGGTTTAATAGAAGCATTTTCATGTAGTTTACTGAGCCCAAATCCTAGGCGACACACTGTACTGGACATTAATGTAAATGATAATAACTTGCTAAAAAACTGAGGTTATTATTAGACGAAAAAGGAAAGTCTATTTAATCATTTAGAAGAAGACAATGCACTCCAAAATCATGAAGTTGTTTTATTACTATGTGAGTTCAACATCAAGTGTATTAAACCCAACTCTGTACGAATTTATGTGCCAACAATTCACAACAAACATCATCCCAAAGCACTTCAAATATATAATCCCAGCCAATGACAAAGAATTTGTTGTAATATATCTATTGTCCGGTCAAAGTATAATATATTCCAAACTGGTCCACAAAGCCAGCTAAACACACTTCCTTAAAAACAAACTGCATCCAAACTTCTCTTCAAGTCAATTTATAACAAAAATGAACAGTTTTGGTACTTTGATGGTCTGGGGCATTCAGTATTGATTTAAAGGAACAGTTTGGGGGGGGGGGGGGGGGGTGGCATGGAGGCTTTTTTCAAACAATCTGAACTATACCATTCATCCATCAGTTCACCTGTGATAAAGATTTGATGTTGTGAATTGAAAAGATTTTTGAAAGCCTGCCATATTTCCTGCGATGATGTGAGTTTGAGAAATATTACGGCGCCCAGGGAGTCATTTCCACAATATAACTGCACATGTTTAATGCAGTGCCACCTTATTGTTGGCTTTTTTGCCTTGTCTCAAGTGCCCTGCGGTTCGATGATGAAATACCCAACGCACAAAAAACAACCTTGAATAGCTTCTTTGCACTTTCTGTCACGGATCTGTTGTCAATTCATTAAAGTATCATGGGCCACGGTGTTATTTTTCACTACTGCTGAGACATTTCCTTCCTACGAGAATTTCTAAGTTTCTATATTCACTTAAATTGTATTTAAAAAAAGTGCATTCAAATGTTATTGACATTTTACAGCTAAGTCCCTATTTTGATAAAAATTAGGTTTTAAAAAAAACTATAGCATAGGATGTAAATGACTTTGAGTACTATTGATTAAAAAAAGCCATGGATTGTAATGTAAATTTAAAAAACTACTTTACATTTGGATGTCAGTCTAAAGCAACATTTCACTAAATCGTACATAAATTAATAGATAAACAATTTGAAAGGATTGGTGGAGTGTAGTTGATGCTAATATAAATCATAGTGACAAATCAAATTAACTTTGAAATAAATCTGAAAAATGGTTTGTGTTGTAATGAAAAGGACACTAACATTCATGGTTTTTGGGGTACTTCCAACAAAAAAAAATAAAAAGGCTGGCAACCACTGGTGTGGACTCTTTCTCAGCCCTTTGTTTAAAGTGCGCCTTTTAAATAAAAATCACTCGGAGAGCCTTGAAAGTGTTTCATCGGCCAAGGAGGGGCTTTGAAAGATAGCAGCCATAAGCTCATTCATTGTTTTCCTAGGAGGGTCTTACCCAGAAAGAACTGTTGAGTGTTGCTCTGATCAGCCTCTGCCAAGCCTGGAGCTTGTCACACACAAGACACACAAATGACCGCCAACCAGGAGCCTATCGCACACTAAACAAAAGGGGCCACATTCCTTGTGTATTCCCACACGAGAACACATCCTGCAGCAGGGGAAGAGTGGGATACTGGGTGTCCACAGGGAATTGGCCCAGAACAACACTTCCTCTGCCGAGGGTCTTATCAGCCTCTGTTTGTGTTTTTTTTTCTGTTTTTTTTTTTTTTTGCTTTCTATCTTTGCTGTCTTCATCCTTCAACCAGTCTACCTCCCACCCAGCTTCCCACTCTCCTCGTCCCACCCATAGGTTTGCTGATGCTTGATCAGAACTGCTGGTATAAGGTGTTGATGTCAACGGACAAAATTTGAAGTGGAAAATCCAAAAATGAGGACAGTTATGCTGCTCATCTCTACTCACACCCCATATTACACCTAACTGCTGCTATGGTGCTCTTTTGGTTTGATTCTTTGTCGCCAATCAAGACAAACCCTTTTGTCATTGTGTCCAAAATACTTGTGATTTTGTTTTCTTCTAGAAAAGCTTTGGGTTTTTTTTGTGTTTACGTAGTCAGCTGAGCATGAGCGTGTTACTCAAGCAGAGGCTCCTTTCTTGTGTATCAGCTTTTTGGTTAATGGGAAACTGGTGCCATGGAGATTTCTGAGTTGTTCCTGCCTATCTGAACTGATTTCCTCTCAGCCACGAGTGACTGTTTGGCTCTTTCACCAGGACTTGGGGAAAAAACCTTATCCTGATATCATTAGGTGTGGAAAAATGACTGAATTGTTAGATATAACGCGTTAATG